TCGAAGGTTGCAAAGAGAAGCAAGAAGACGGAAGATGGTTCTACAAAGCCCAAGACAACTAAGTTCCAGGGAACTGACAAGAAACCGAAGAATGGCAGCAAGAAAGATGAGAAAGAGGAGGACGAGGATGAGAAGAAGATGGCAAAGGTAACCAAGAAGAGTACCAAGGTTGGTGCACAGGGCAGCAAGAAGAACAATGAAGATGAGGATGGTGAGGATGAAGCGAAGGCCCAAAAGAAAAGGGCAAAGAAGCGGGACGAAGACGAGGATGAGACAGAGAAACCAAAGAGCAGCAAGATCAGAAAGACTGAGAAGAACTCAGCTGCAAAGACCAAGCAGAAGAACAATAAGAAGACCAAAGAGGATGATTCTGATGAAGAGGCTGAGGAGGAGGAAGAGATGCAGAAGGTTGCAAAGAAAGGCAAGAAGAGGGCCAAGAACAGGGCCAGCGCCAAGACAGGTCGAAAGGACAAGTCAGAAAAAGGTGAGGATGAATCTGAGGATGACAGTGGCAGTGAGCAAGAGGATGAGGACAGCAATGAAGAAGACGAGACCAAGCCAAGGAAGCGGAGAAATTCTGGAAAGCCATCCAAGGCTGATCAAAACAAATCAAAACATATTGAAACCTTCCAACCTATCCCAACTAGTAGTTGGGTGGGGGATATCACAAATTAAAGTGTCTCTTTGAAAACCTGTCGGCTTGAAAAAACTCAGAGTCTGTAGTCAAGTTGTTTGAATGTGGCCATCCAACCTGACAGGGCGACCTGATGAGAGATGACTACCACAAGTTCATCAAAGACACGATGGCCGCCCTGCGAGAGGAAAACCCTGAACAGAGTGGCAGGGAGATTCTGCAGTCAGCCAGGATGAAGCCTGGGCCTCAAACATAGTTGTTTTTTTGCAAATTAAGCCCACTATCATTTGAGCTAGTCTTCAATCAAACCCATGACTCCATGACACAAATCCCACGAAGCCCTGACCACCGTTGATCCCAGGTGGAAGGTCTCCGAGATCCGAGCTAACAGCATCCGGAACATGACGCCCACGCAGCGGAGCCGAAGACGCCTCCAGAGTGCGTGAGTAAGTTCTTTTGGAGTGGTTCAGGGGTCTGCAACAGCACCATGCTGGAAGTTTGGTCATGTTTTGAATACATAACCCGAAAGTCAAAATGAACGGTCACGGAAGAGTTTTGAATACCGTTGGCAAAGATTCTAGTCGGCTGGTGCTTGTGCAATTCTGGGGCTAGCTGGCTGAGCCTGACAGTTGCGTAGCCTCATGGTGTGACCCGCAGCTGCAGAACAGCCCTCAATCTTGTTGCTGGACAGTGAGAACACTGTCTCATAGATATGGACATGACTATGGACATGAACTCCGGGAAAAGTTCGTGTGATGTGCTCAGGTTTTTCTTGTTCATCTCACTCCAAACTCCGAAGAGTCGTTGAACATGTCAAAACCATGTAAGTGCATGTCAAAACCCGACGAGTACACACATGTGCAGGTGAATATGGCTATGTGAAGACCTGTGCTTGGACAAATGATTTGGACCATGTGATTTTAGAGATGCCAAACGAGAGCGGGAAAGGAACGACAGACTCTGACATGTCTTCACTTCGATCACTCCTCCATGAGATGGAAGAAGAAGATGTTGTGGATTGCACTCTGAATGGCCATGAGTGTGCTCGTGCTCCTGCCTGCGGTGACACCGCATCGATGCCTGAAAGCTTGGTCCTCAGTTCAGGTTCAGTGCTGACAACCTCTTCTCTGGTACCTCCCACTTATGTGAAAACATCACTTAGCTGGAACTCGAACTTGTTGCCTAGCTTCATTGCCAGGTGCAGATTACTTTGTCATCAAGCCAAAGCCTACACCGATCTACTTCCAATGGACGCCCCCCCAGCCAGACAAGCTCATGCAAATATGCATCGGTTGCAAATTTGTTTACGGAGAAGGTGCCTGAGCATATTTCCATGAAATGAAAGCAAAACCACATGGTAACATCAAGGTGAAGCATGTCCCATACTTGTAGCTGCGCTAGGCTCTGGAGGCTTCACGAATGCTTTATCCTGTATGGCGCATAGCCTACCTCAAGCAAGCGAATGTGCCTTTGATGCAATGTCCAGTCATGTCATGTCATTCTCCTTTGCCAACCCAATGGCCCCATGATTTGAGGAGCTCATGCCGAGATGCTTGGTAGAAAGAAAACAAATCGAATCATTTCCTGATCAAATGAAGCACGTGTTACAGTCACGCGTGTTCTGTGTGCTTGATGTGCATTTGGCCTTTCAATCTCAACAGCCCTAACCTGACCAAGGAAAACCATTATATTTCTTGAGAGGGTCAAACGAGTTGGCTATGGTCGCTGATCAAGCTATCCGCTTGATTTGAAGGGTTTTGGATGATGCTGGTGTCCATCAGGCGCTCTGAAGGTTTATGTTCAGAACGTTCATGTAACTTTAGTTGCTTTATGGAATCTGTAGCTGAGCAACAAACACTTGTTTTTACTTTGTGTCAGCCTGGTGCACCGAAAAGAGCTACACTGTAGGGAGGGAAGGCAAGCCCCTTCTCACGAGCTGCGCACAGCTTAGGGCCAGACTCAAGCAAAAGGCAGCAGCGTTGGGAGTGCATCTTGAGAACTAGAAAAGTTAAGAAGTTGAAGATGTTTCAATTTGGAGATGTCTTCAACAAATCCTCAAGTCGAGTCATTGAATGTCATTGAAAAATCACTACCACAAGTGGTCTAAGTGGTTGTGATTGATGTAGCAATGTAGTAAGTGCTCTACATTTGGACAAGTCTTGCCATCTTGTAATGAATCCACTGATCAAACACACAGCTTCAGAAGAACGAGCTCTGTTGTAGGTTTGCTCTCTCTCTCTCTCTTCCAAGGTCGTGCGTCATCATCTTCAATGGGTGATCCAAAGGACAAAGGACCATCAATTATCAACGAACTTTACGGGTTTTACGAAATGGTTTTACGAAATAGATCGAAATAGTAGTTGGGAAAGGGTTTCACGAAAGGGTTTCACGAAAGGGTTTCACGAAAGGGTTTTACATGGGTTTTACGAATTTCACGAACTTTCTGGAATGCCGGCTGCCGGGTGCCGGGTGCCGGGTGCCGGGTGCCGGGTGCCGAGTGCCGGGTGCCGGGTGCCGGGTGCCGGGTGCAGTGTTCCTTTTGTACTTAGTGATTTAATTCGATTTCAGTTGTTTGGTCTAAAGGTTTTGGACATGTTCTTGCAAAAAGATTGGAAGGAATGGAGTGATTGAAACAAAAATATCTAGATCACTCAAAAGATGAACAGGCAGCCTTTTGGCTCCAAATTGTTGCAGGATCTGAGCAAAGCCGAGTTGGTGCTTCTGGAAGGTGCAGGGCTGCTCGCTTACCGTGGGTTGGGCACTGTGGGTTGACCTGTGGTGCATTGCGGTACCAATAGTATTGATGGATTTGAGCAGCTCTGTTGAGTTTAGCATTATGTCTTTGGCACTATTTGGAGGCCCAGGCATATCGCAGGAACATTTACAGTATATCACAGTTCTTCAAATCCTTCCGCATTGTAACATCACACCAGTTGAGCATCCATATCACTACTAAACTTATTAGAATAAAGAGTAGCTAATCAAACACTTCGCCTTCAGCAATGGCTGGTAATGCAAAGACCCGTCGGGTAAAATACTTGGATCAGCTGGTGCCAACATCCGGCAAAGAGCGCAGGGCAGCTTTGCAAAAACTCTATGAGAAGTCCAGAATCTTGCATATGCAAAATAAGCAATCTTGTTTGCTCGGGTTTCCGGCTTTCAAGCCTTCTTTTGAAAAATCCTGGAGTCAGGGAAACACCCAAACTTTGAAGGGAGTGCAATTTTGTTGGTTGCATTGTTTGTGTAAGGACGTGACAAAAAGCTAAAAAACAAAGAGTTACGACAACACCAGCAGCAGATTCTTGCTGAAGCTATTCCTGCAGGGGGTGGAGCTGGGCCTGCAGGGGGTGGAGCTGGGCCTTCTATGGCTTTGGTTTCTTCCGGGCCTACCAAGCAGGGGTTGAGCTTGGTTCACGAGGGCAAGTCTTGCCATTTGTGTTACAAAATGGAGGAGCAGTACGTTCATGAACTCTATGCTGTGCGTGGCTGGGCTCTGTTTTGTTCACATTTTGGCTTTTGAGATCAGTGCTGAAAAAACTTTTAGTGTGGGACACCTCTGCTTTCAACATCGAACCATTAGAACATCTCTGAGGTCAACAGGTGATGGATTTGGAGCGCCAGGTGAAAAGGAAGGACATCGAGATTGCATCTCTAAAGGAGAAACTTCCTAGAAACCTTAATGGCCTTAATGTTTGTGCTCGTAGGAAGCTCTTCTGACTGAATAAAAGTCAGGTGATGGCAAGCTTTTCAGGGGATCGAAAAAGTTGGTCCGCAAGTTCAGAGGGGTTTTCAGGGGTTGGAAAATGGCTGGCTCTTTAACTGTCCTGTCTGCCAGGTGCTGTTGCGACAAGACTTCGCACTGAGCTGGATTGGATGGAAAAAGTCATGAGTGGATGGAGGGTGGATGTTTAATAGCCTATTGCGAGCCGCTACCAGCATCAACCTTAGGACCCAAGTGTAATGTTATATCACTCGAATGCAAGGAAATAGCCTTATATATATAAGTACCAGCACCTTCAAAGGGGTCTCCTGGCTGGAAGCCCCAGCCCACTACGATCAGGGACCTCCAGCCAGGACACCCCTTCAAGGTCCAGGTACTATAATTAGGATATTATTATCCTTTTTCTGGGTATAGGAGATAAAATTTGGAAAAGGTTTGAAATGGTCCTAGATCGATGCATATACTTGCTGACCCAAAGGCCCCAAGATCACCCGTGGCTTCTAGCAAAGCAAACTCAGCACAACAAACTCTTCTTGTTACACGTGGTCTCTTTCTATGAAAAGATGTGAAAACCGAAAACCATTGTCACATTGAAACTCGATTGCATCAACTTTCTACACCTGGACCTCTAACTACATATGTCTTGCACACCAAAAATGCTCATTCAGTCTCGGTCGAAATCACCCCCGCCGTCAAGGATGGCAGGAACGCCGCCGCTCTTGGAGATGCTCGTGACCAGATCCTCCTGTGCGGAAGCGCGTCTCCACGGCCGTGCTCGTCGTGCCCAAAGGGATGTCAAACAAGGAAACCACTGGCTGGGAAGTCCAGCAAACCGGGGCGCTTGAAGAAGTCCGCATCTTTTCTGGACACGTGGATGAAATTGAGAACGTGTATCCACACGATTCCACATGGTTCCACATCTAAATATATCGACCAGGCCCCAACTCTACAAGTCACCGGACTCATGATTCTTCGGATTCATTCTTGGACCCTGAGCGCGCAGTGGGGACATGGAAGCCATCTGGACCTGTCATGTGTGCGCCGGACGCTCTGTGGCGGCGGTCGTTCCAGTCGTTGCGAGGCGGTGGGCGAGGCCTGAGAGTCAAAGAGTCCGTGAGTTTAGGGGTTCGTCTTACCGTCCGGAGCATGTTTTAGTATACGGATTTGGGATTGTACACTACAAAACCACGTCGGGCGTTTGTTGAAATGCTCTTGGAAGGTTGGGAAGGAGACAGGGCGTCTGCATGTCAGAGCGATGATCCGTGGAGTTCACACACTTCTTCCCAGTGGAGGAGCCCAAATGCCATTTAGGTGGAGTGGCATTATGTGACCAATTGAGTTGCTCCCTGCTGTTGGATTGCAAAGCTGGGGTCATTGATGCCTGTTCCAGTTCCATGTTTCTTGATATGACACCCATGGGTGGGCCAAGCAGCCAGACAAACATCACTCTGTTAAAAGAAATAAAACATCTCAATTCAAAGCTCGAGTTGCAAAAACACATCCAAATATATCCAAACTGCCCACTTGTGCTGTTTGTCAGACCAGGCGAGGTTCATGTCAAAGTTGAAGCTAGTTTATTATTTAAGACCTGCATCCTATGACCCGCATCCTATGAAAAAAGAGCACTCCTGGTTCCCAGTGTCTGACATCGTGTCTCTCCAAGCTAGGCAAAGAAAAGAAGGGCGGCTCAAGCTGCATTTCTAGAATCATCTTGAATCATCCCTAGTCTCCAACAGCTCCTCCCCCGTGGTCCACATCCACGACGTCCCCTCCTGCGCCAGTGGAGGTACCTCGCTGCGCCCGCAGAAGTTCAAGGCCTCTGGGCCGAGCATCCCCCGCTGCGCCGCGCCGCGCAGGACCTCTGCACGGCACAGAATGAGGGCGGCACCGGTGAGGGCGGCGGAGTTCCGGGGACGAGGACGATCTCGGGGGGTGCAGGACTCGAATCGAACAGAGTGAGAGCCTGGAGCGTTCTCCACTTTCTTCCAGGACCTTGCAGGGAGTGTCATCTGCATCATGTGGCTCATGGGGGTCAAAAGTGAGAAGATGAAGGTCCTCCGAGATCCTAACGTGAGGCCAAACCGGAAAGTCGGCGATGGCTTGAAGGAACACCGGCAAAAATTGGACACCACAGAGAGATGGCTGTTTTCAGTTCTAGAGTTTCTTTTTGATTCTTCTCAGGCGTTTCTAGAAGGAACACCAGGAACAGTTCTTTGAAGGAAAACAAGAGGGAACTTTGAATTGACAAAGGAAAGGACGTAAAATGGTGTGTGTATCACGTCGTTCCTGGCCTTTTTCCCCAGTCTGACCACAGCGCGTACCGAGCTGAGCTCCTACGTTCCGAAGGAAGCGCTGTGCCCCGGGCCGTTTGGAAAGGTGGAGGGTCACAGCGCCTTCGACCCAAAAAAACCATCAAAACCCTGTTGAAGTCTGTTGAAGCCTCTTGTCTGTCGTGCCTTTGATGGCATCTACAGTAATTTTTACAACTTGCTTCCAATTCTTGCAGAGGCGCAGGAATAAGGTCAACTACATAAAACAAAGCTTGATAGTTGGGAAGGAAGGATCTTTCACTTTGATCACTTTTGATTCTGATTCTCTGATGTTCCAAACCTGTATCAGAAAACACCAGCTAAACACCTGTATCCGAAAGACGAAGGCCCTGGATTCCCAAAAAAAGAAAAACGAACACAATGGAGCCGCCCGCGTTCACGCACGGCGCGCGCCTTCGCGCACGGCGCGAAAACAGGCAGGGATGGTGTTCGTATGTGTTCGTGCTTGAAAGAAGACACCCTTACCGCCCTTACGGCAACCCTTTCCAGCCGTGGCCGTGAAAACGGCGGTCCAAGAGGCTGCGCTCAAACAGGCCACGCCCAAGGTGAGCACGTCCACCTCCGCCTGCTGCCGCCTCGCGTCGGAGCGGAAGCGACGTGCCGTGGCGGGAGCGCCGCGCGCGACCGCGGCGCGCGGAGTCCGCGGTTGGGTTCGACCGGAGGAGGAAAAAGGCGCCGGTTCTAGAAGTGAGTGAGGGTCAAAACGGTTCGAAGAGCATGTATATACAGCAGCAAATCGAAGGCTAAAAGGCTTGGTGTTCAGAGATGATGCTGTAATTTTAGGACATGTGCATAACATTGCATGACGACACATTTAGGAAACTGGACAAGTCACTTGGCCATCCATGCCGAAGGCTAATAGTAAGATGGGCTCTGGTCCCATGACATTGCCCTGCATGGGAAACAGGTACCAGATATGCGGTGTACTTGGTTGTACACTTGGGGGATATCCCCTCCCATAAACCAACCAACCACTGGTCAAAGGCCATTGCTCGACCTTGACCGGAGGTCCTAGCTCTCACAGAAGGAGGCACCGACTCTTCTCTTTCGGCCAAAGGGCATCACATCAACAACGGATTCAATCAGGCCCTGCTGCAGGGCACGATCCTCGGTGCTGTGATGTGCTTTGGCAGCGCCATTCAGGCACGAGGAGTGCGGAACGTCAAACGGATGGTGGAAGGATTCCAGGACAGAGCATGGGAGCGGATGTTTTCTCATGAAGAAAAGTTTTACAGTATATAGACCTATGCAAGTGAACTTAGTTGTGCAGCTGCAAACTCATTGCACAAGCAACCTTGCAGAAAAGAATCAGGGTGTCTCATAGCTTACGACCTTGGGTCTCGGAGCATACGATGTCCTCCTGTACCGAGACTTCACAACATCCTGTACCAAGACTTTTCACACCCCCACACAGGTATTCTCTGAGCAGTTTTTGTTGAAGACAATATAGAAGAACCATTTAGATCATGCGCCCCCCCCCCATGTCGTTTTTGCTTTTCGCATGTGGAGGGACTGGTCGAAGGGGCCTTGGGATGGGTAGGTGGACTGGCTCTTTGCACCAGGTACTTCCTAGTGTAGTGGCCGGTACTTTGTGGGAGGGTCCGTTTTTCAGGAGACACCCTCATTGGAACCCTGCAGCCACTTGCAGGTGGGACTATCAAATCTCTTGAGATATCTGAGGCACCCTACAAGCTAAGTATATAAATGCCATGGAGTATCGTGGACTATTCCAGGCACCAACTCCCTGAAGCAAAAGTATGCATCAAAGATTCATGAAGGACGACATGTGCTTCCAGGAAAGCTTTCAGGAGCCTGGCAATCAGGTCACGCAGGCACCCGACGTGCGCTCGGTCTTGAAACAGGCCTTGGAGAACAAATCTCTTATCTCATCATATCTCCCACCAAAAAAGCCATGAACAAGCTTGAGGGAGAGTTCACAAAATCCAGAGAAAGAAGGATGGTGAGTGTCTCAAGTACCTCACTCAAGCATGTACACTCTGACAACACATTACGAAGTGCATGGCATGGACCCAATTAACGACTTTCCCTCTACAAATAGGTGTTTTTCCACTCCCATGTTCGGAGTTGGAGGGTACTTCAATTCAGGGAAATAATAAACAAATATACAAATATTTATATAACCTATCAGGTCAAAACTTGTCCGTCCAGGTGCAAATGAAGCTCCGGCTACTGGGAGACAGGTACCCGCACCTGTGAACGGTGCCGGTTGTGGGAGAAGTGCCTGTCAAGCCAAGTAAAGTTTCCTCCATTTGAGTCCTGGGCATTGTAACCCCCGAACAAAAAGGGATCCAAAGATATTCTAAATTCTTCAAGCCACCTGGTTTCAGCCTGAAACCAACGAAATGCAATCGAAATGTGGGTTATTCGCCTTCAATATGCGAAAACATGTCTTCGACATGATCTCTTTTTGATGATGCCCGCAACAAAACTTCATGTGATGCCATCGCATGGAGAACCACCTCAGCAAAATCCCTGTAGGCACCCACCCGGCGTCCTGGAGAGCTTCAGTCAAGACACCCACCCCATCCCACCCCCAAACCGCCGCGGACGAAGAAAGAGAAAGGGAAAAGAGGTGCATTGAAAAGAGAAACCCGAAATGTCCTGAAACAATGAAACGAGGTGGAAACAACAGCGAAATGAACTTCCTTTCAAGAGCCAACAACGGGGTTCCGAAACCACCACGGGCGAAAGGAGTGGCACCACGGTTTCCAGCCCGAAGTGGACGAGCGGTTCGTCTCGACACGCGGCGCCTCAGCGAGCGCAGCACCAAGGGTTGTTCACCACCCTGGAGGCACTTCAGCACCGTGATGAGCTCATGGACCTGAGAACACCGGGACCTGGACATGATCGGATGTCTGGAAGACCGAACGGAAGACGGAATCGACAGGAACCGCCCAGGGTGGCAAACGCCCTCACCCACACATCCCACACGCACACCGCCCCCCAAAAAACGGGCGATTGCTGGCCCACCGGGGCGCATCATCTGTCTGCAACTGGTCCAAGTGATTCTGCAGCAGTTGAACGCTGAAGCGAAACCGTCGCTGCTCCAAGGCCTCCCAAATCGCTGGAGACTCGACCTGCACCTGCTTTATCTGTCCATGGATCCATGTGTCCGGCATCATGCATCCTTCGGAAGGAGGTCCACTTCAGATGATTTCAGTGTGATCTTGAGTGAACAAAGCAAAATTCGATTCAGAATCTGAAAAGTGCAGAGAGAAAAACCGGCAAAAGCCGAATGTCCTTGTGAACCAGAATTGCCGGTGTATGTAGTCTTCAGACCTGCGGATATTTTGATAGAGAGTCTTAGAGAGTCTTGAAAGAAACACCATGGTTGGTGGGTTTCTTTTGACATGGTAGCACTTGTTTCCCCAAACATGCAAGTTTTTTTCCCAGTATTTGTTTGGTTGTAACCGCTGGCCGAGTTGTTGCAGAGAAGATAGGGGGACTTGCAACAAATTTCATCATCTTCTCCTCTGTCAGTCACTATAGAGAGTTTGGGGACCTTTGGGGACCCACCCACCGGAACGATCATAGACCTTCCAAGAAGGAAAACCAGCACAACCAGTCAGACAGTCACACCCACATGCCATGAGCCCCACCCAGCCTTGTGACTCTCCCCATTCTCCACACGGTTCGGTCCAGTGCATTCCCTGGTTGGTCATGTAGAATCTGGATGATATTTCAACCTATTTCAAGCTATTTCAAGCCTGAAGAGCCACTTTACCATCCAAAAATTCTGGCCAGAGAATTCTGGGGGAGAAGTATTCATCTTTCATCTCCCTTCATCTCCCTTGACCTGGCGTCCCTCTTGGACCTCATGTCCCTCTTGACCTCGCGCCCGTGGACGCTGCGCCCGGCCTCGGGGCTCAAACGGAGCTGCTTCACCGTGCCGCTGGGGAGACCTCCGGCGCCTCCGGCCGCGACGCCCTTGGCCTTTCCTCGGCAGTGAAGTAGAAACACACGGCAGCTGCCGCAAACAGGCTGACGCAAACAGCGAGCTGCTGAAGCAAAGCAGCTGCTTTTCAGGCAGATCTTCTGGAAAACGGTGGCAGCGAAATTTCCAGTTCCACACATCATTGGGGGGCCGAACTTGGAGGGTAGGGAGGTGCCCAGCTGCTTCACTTAGGGATGGAACTCTTGATATGTATTGGTACTGCGGCACCCATGGATGCACTCTCCAACGAGTCCGACAAAAAAGTGGATCACCAGCGGATCTGAAAATGTTGCCTTCCCCCCCAAAAAAAAACAGCAAGACACTACGAATTCTGAGTCTAACAGAATCTACAACATGGAACAAATATTAAATATGACAAAAACATACAGTGAAACAGAACAAAAGAAAAGGAAAACAAAAAACAACACGTTCCCCTCCCCCCCCAACCACCCCCTCTCTCCAGATCTCCATCTCGTGCATCCCAAGGTGCTCAGGATGCCCTTCACCGGCGCCAGGATCCGGTGCTTGGGGTCGCCACCTGGCGGGCCAGGAAGTTGAAGAAGAAAAAGTTTGGACATGGGAAGTAGATGGAAATGGGAAGTTAAAACTAGCTATATACTATACGAAGGTTGTTTACTATAGTTAATTATAGTTCTTAATTATGTGTGTCTTTTGGACGGGTGCATGTTGTTTTTTTGATGCACGCACTGTACGCATGGTTGGTGACAAAGAACGCTCAGCGTCTCATGGAAGATAGGGGGTGCCCAGAACATCCACTCACTGGATGGGCCGGCCGACGTTTGGAACTCCTGGATAAAAAACATTTCTTATTATTGATTAGTTATGTTTTTTTTCCAAACTACAGCAGTTTCGAACAAAACACATGATATGTTAGGAGCAAGGAGCTTTAAATCAACAGATTTAGATCAACAATTGAACTGGGTCTGTATTAAGTTCGGGAAACCTTCCACAGACTCGCTGAAAGAAGGACAATAGACTAAAACCCATTGGTTTCGCGTTTCCCTATTGACATACACACCCAACGATGATCAAAATCAGATCTCTCTGGTGGTCACCAGCACTGGGAGACTGGAGACTGATCAGATCGCTGGACAAGCGCGGCTTGCGCAGCGCTGGAACTTGCGCCCGGTAAGGTCCTTATGGTGGATAACATACCTGGATCTTCAAACGGCACAAGTTTTTGCCGGAGGCATTTTTTAGTGAAAAGACGCCGTAATCAAAAAAAATGCCGTTTTATGGGTTGTACAAAATCCATGGATGGGGAAAGACGCCGTTTGGACGCCCAAAGACGCCGTTTGGATGCTTAAAGACGCCGTTTCTTTTTGCTTTCTGCCGGCGTGCGCCTCGTCACAACAAAAAACGCCGTCTTTGGAAAAAGACGCCGTAACGGCATTTTTTCCTGAAACGGCAATTATTTGTGCCATTTCGAAGATCCAGGACCAACATGGAATATATGAATCAATCAATCTGATCAAATATGATCAACTTCGGAAATGTCTTGGTTGCAGCTAATTGCCCTTGGCCAATCCATGTACCACGTCTCCCAGCTCACTAGCTCGCCTTGAAGCAGTTCTTGATTCACGTCCTCGGAGATCAACCTCGGCCGTCACGCAGCTGCCGTCACAGCAGGTTGGCCTTTCCGACCGGCGGCCGGGTGCACACCTGACTGGCTGAGGTTTACCGCGCAAGAACATCCCAAGTGCGAAGAACAATTCCTTAAAACATGATATACATTGATTGATATCCTTTTTAATATCCTCATCCCCTTCCCATCCGGACATTCCCTCTGCATCCATCACATGCGCACAAGCTGCTGTAGCTGGCAACCGCCCTCGCGTGCAGCCAAAGGATCGCGCGTTTGCGCGGCCCCGCGTGCCAGAATCGCCAGCGCGCTGTCCAGGTTGATGTCCCCTCACGTCAGTGGCTGGCAAAGGAATTGTATCGTTCGTTAGTTTATTCTTCCGAGCGGTTCCCGGGAAAAAGGAAAGTTTAACCTTTTTGCATCCAGTAGGCCAGTAGGATTTGAGTGAAGCGTCGTCAATCCCAAAATGGTGAAAGCAGGTGGTCTGACAAATGCTCTCCTGGCCTTAAGGTCGTTCCTTTGTTAAGGTCAGGCTTCAGTCCTTTCACCCAACTTCTAGGCATGTGCTTGGTTCTCTTCGCTGTGAGGCGTCTTTTATGCGCCCATTGTAATACCTCTTGTGATGCTAGTCAAGCTTAATAAAATACCTAGCACTTCTAGCACCACCAGGCTCTGCCTTGCAACAAGAAAGAAAATGCATATGCTGAGATTGCCAAGTTTCTTGCTGGTGCCAATCTATTGCTTTGCTGCACAGCAAAGCCTTCCTTATAGATGCCTGAAACTTGGGCCCTCCTTCCTCTTCCACCTCCTCTTCCACCTCCTCTTCCACCTCCTCTTCCACCTGCTCACTTGATGTTCAACATCGAATGTTCCATTTCCTCCAATGTTCCTTCCTTCTTTGCCCGTCCGGCCGTCCGCCTTTCGGACCGATGCGGGTGTTCCCCCCACCGAGCGGCGCATGGAGTTGGTGCGCTCCAGGCGTTGCGGCACCAGCCCGGCGCGCTCGAAGTCGCTCCGGTCCAGCCTCGGTGCTGCTGGAAGATGTTGGAAGGAACGGATGAAAAGGAAAGGCCAGCACAAGATCTGTGGAAGACTTGATCTTTTTTCCGGCTGATTCTCTTCTATAGGATGTGTATCTGTATGCGTGTGGGATTGGATGTCTTAAGAAATTGGGTCGCTGCAGGCAATCGGAGTTGCAAAACTCCTCCACCAGCCCGCCAACAGGCCCGGACAGGGAATTGTTCGGCCTGTGTGGGCTCATTGGAATCTTTGCGTGAATCCTAGAGCATGTCATCATGAACATGTTTAATGTTCATGTAAATCCAAAAAACCTTCACCAATCTTGCAGTATTGCCCATCTTGCCCAAGCCGATCGATGTCAGGCTTCGGACAGAAAACGGTTAATCCCAATTTGTGAAAGAGCTGTTTTCTTCCGCTGCGCAAGAAAGAAACCGCTGGCGTCTCCAGATCAAGTCTCAGTCACGCCAAGATGATGTTGAAAATTCACCCCCCCCCGTTTGAGGCCATCGCTCGTAGCTCCGCTGGTCGTGGCAAGTTACTCGGCCGCGTCTCCAGGTTCTCACCGGTTCTCGTCAATCGTCTCCTTCATCTGGCCCTGGAGAGCCTTTCCAGAGCAGCGGTGGGTCGTCGTTCAAAGAAGTGTCAAGCCTCGGGCACAAAGCCTTTGCCGCGGGGCCATGCTTAGCCCCAGTCGTCGTTTCCAAAGCGCTGCCACTGTTCCAGCCTTCAACACGCCTCAACGCCCTACAAAGAAGCTTGCACGTTCGCAGAACACACCAAGGGGAGAGTGCAATTCGTGATCAAATCGTTCTCTGCCGTTCTGTCATGCGGGCAGCTTCCTTACTGGCCATCTCCAAAGCGCTGGCTCCACGGACTGCTGTTCACACAAGAACTCTGAGGGGCAGTCGTCAAAGAAGATGGAGTCTCGTCTGCACACATCCGGCAAAGAAAGGCTCCCAAACAGTCCTCTGATCAAGATGGACAAACATCACTCACATCACTCAAACTTGATGGGAGTCCCCACCTCGAAAGCAACACAAACAAACAAACAAACCGTTGGAGTCTCAATCCGTGTCTTCTTCAATCCACGGACCGACAAAGACATCTTTATCTTGTTCTTCTCGCGCAGATCGCATCGCATCTCTGACCGGACCAGAAATCCCTCGCCGGTCCTTCACCACTTCATCTCATGTGCCACAAAGTCCCGCTCTAGATTGGCGTGGATCCTTGGAGCTCCGCCACGGCCCGGCTGAGCAGGGAGCGCCAACAGCACGAGCCCCACATTGGGAGGGAGCCCCATGCTCGGTTCCCTGTGAAAGAGGTGGCATTGGAGTTCAGAGGGGTTCAATTTTGATGTTCAAGGAAAAAAGGTCAATCTTTTGTCCAAGTGAGAGGAAACAACACAGCATCTCACCGTGGATCCTTGAAACCCATACCCGGTACCCCCAAAAAGATGTCCAGTCAGCAAAAAGAGCGGGCAAAAAGCTTGGTCTTTCATGAAAGCACTCATCCTCCTTCGAAACCATTCAGGTCCAATCATGTCCTTTGATGTCCAGTCCTGAAAGTTCTGGACATGATCTTTTCAAGGCGACCGTTGTCACCAGCTGGATGCATTCAAGATCATTCGAACATTTGCAATCTAGGTGACTTTCGCTGTGGAATGAACAACATCAGAGATCATCAGAGTGAATTTTTCGAGTGAACAGTGCAGCCATAGCGTCACGCAGACTGCCCCCTTGTTCTCAAAGCGCCCTCCGTAGCTGGCGGCGCTAAAGACGGAGATCCACTCGTAAGCGCCGACGCTGAGGCGCTCGTAGCCCTCCAGGGAGACGCGCTGAGAGCAGATGAAGGTGTCCAGCCCGTTCTGAGCGAGAAAAGTCTGGAGAACCTCAGAAGCTACGACCAAAAGCGCTCTCTGCGGTGCTGAGCGGTTGGAGGCCAAACGTTTTGGGTGTGGATGGTTGACTTCGTGATTGTGTTGCGACTGGTGGCGTTCTCACCTCATGAAGTCAAACTGATGCGACTGGTTCGACAAGCATGGCTAGCTTGGTCTTGGATCATCTAGCCGTTCATCAGGTGAATCATCTACGGGTAGAATCGGGTAGAACCAAGGACAGCCAACGATCATCTAGTACTAGTTGAATCGTCATTTAGTGAATCAGGTGTCCGCTCGTAGGTGGTTGAGGATGACCCACCTCAAATCGAGTGTGTACTTTTCTTACCTTGAAAGCATCAACGGAGAATGGTAGCAGCCATGTTGATCGTGTGTTGGGATCTACTGACCAGTGCTGACCCATTGAAGCCGTCTGTCTCACTGAGGTGAGCCTGACGGCCCTGACGGCGTCCCATGGGAATTCAAAATTTCCCCGATCGCACAATTCATGGGACCAGCTCGGAAAGGTGGACTCACCTCAAAAGGTGGTTTCTTCAAGTCTGGGTGGGCGGGAAAGCGACTCCCGAAAGCATTCTCGCGGAGCGGACTTCTTTGGACAAGACGTTCGTATCCCAAAGGCCCCAGTTGGATCCAGGTAGGAAAGATTCCAAATTGCTGCAGCTTAGAGTCGCAGTATACATTCTTCCCCAGACGACAGGATTGGTCATTGCATGGTAGCTCTAGAATTTAGAGCCAGAACTTCCCACCCGACCCAGTTCTCCTACCAGTGTGCCTGGGTGGTTGGCGATAGGTCGAAGTACATTTGAGTGGTGGCGATAGGTGGTCTCCTACCTACCTGCGTTGGGTAGTTGATGTCGCCGATCCATGGCTCTCTCAGGTTTGACACGTGCTGAAACCAACACGACTCGGTTCATGCGGTGAGCTGCGATTCTTTTGGATGAAAAATGCAAGCTGTTTCGATAGAAAACAAACAATCGGCATGGGCCGCACTGTCTCGACTGTGGCCTTTTTGCCCAACCGAACAAAGGGAATTTGGGGCGTGTCGGGTAGTCCTTTGGACACCCATAAGAAAGTGTCTCTTCTTGGCCTTTCATTCAATTCTGCCTTTTGTTGTTCAGCCTCTATAGCTGGCGAATCACCATCCCGCTACTCCCAATATGCTTTCCCTGCTGGCAGAGTGCGTCGGAGCCAAATTCAGCTTGATCGCCCACCGCCTGCAAGCAGCAGAGCGAGAAATGCCAGCAGAAGTAGTTCGGTTGGCTCATGGACTGTGCCAACTGTGCCTTCTCTTGGACCTGTTGTCACTCTCCTTCAGCTTTTGTGGAACATTGAAGGTTAACTACCAAGCTTTCCACCTGTTGACATATCCCTGTCTCCTCATGGTGAGGAGAACATCGCAGACACGCTGGTCGTACGACGTAAAAGACCCTAAAGAAACTAATTAGAGAGTGAAACCGAACGGCCTCAAGCACAACACAAGGACAAGGGAAAAGCCCAAGTAGAAAGGCTCTGGCAACAACCTTCCATCAAGATGTTCGCGAATCTTTCAAGCTCGGTGGAGGAAATGAGAGGACGTGCTCCAAAAATAGCGCCCTTGGGTAATGCTCGTCCACATTTGTAAGCCTCCGTGGAGCAATATAAGCCGGGGACAATCGTCTGACCCTGTTGGACTTGAGTGGGGCGTCCCCAATCCCATCAAGTTTGGGAAAAGGTGATCCACTTTTCCTGTGTGGGTCGTAGACCTCTAGGCTTTTTGGCACCGGCCTTGGAGAGGACAAGTTAACCTAGGGCATATCATCGCTTGATCTTCAAGTTGAGGGGATTTTCTACGTTGTTTCATGTTGCAAAGATTCACCAACACCTTGCGGTCATGATGCCGAAACAGTAACGGCCCGGCGGTGAAAGATCACGCGTCAAGCAACACGCAAGAGCAATCTTGAACAAGAAACATCAGCAGTTTCTGAGTTTGTGCCCCACGTGCAAACTCCAAACCAAACCCTGGATTTGCTTAATCAGGAAGACGGGAAAAAAGACATATTCCTCAGGTTTGGGGATTCACCCAAAGAGAAAATTGAAAATCACCTGAACTCAAAACCAGGAAGCCTAAGCTATTTACCCGTGGACAACCTGAGCCAACCAAATGCAGCTAATGGACGCACAAAGCCACCCAAGCCGCCATTTCAACGTTCCAAATCCAACGTACCACTTCAACCGTGCACTCCTACGAACACGACCCCAAACTGGAAAAAACCAAGACGTTTTTCTCCCAGCTTCCCCACCACCCGACCCGACCTCATCGACCTCATCCTTCCATCCTTCGATCATCGGGTTGAAGTTCGACCACAGCAAGTCACTCAACAGCGTTCCGGGCAGCACGTCCACCGGGCGTGACACGTCCAGCTGCTCCAGACGTTCCAAGCGCGGGGAGAGGCCTCTCCAGTGCACCGGAGGCAAAGCATATCACGACTCGAGCACAGGGCAGAATCCAGAGCCTAGGAGCCTTATATAGAACTCCTTGAAGAAAAAGAACAAAACTATACAAAACTCCTTGGAAATTGGAAACTTCCCAGGAACCTGCGACATCAGGTTGGTCAAAGGTGCCAGCAACCCTCCTTCCTAACAATAGCATCTTTGGCACCTGAGGAGACGCAGAAGATCCGCGCCCGTGCCAGACATGCACACAGGGGCATGCAGCGGAAGACCTCGATGAAGGCTTTCCTGCAGAAAAAGCGGCGTCCGATCGCCGCCGTTGATTTCTGCAGGAAGGTCAGGGACTTAAGGAACCTCCCTTCTGCAGTAGCTTGTGTCAGGGTCATCCGATGGAAAACATGGCCTGCCCGAAGAATCCTTCAGCCCCGGCCAGGGGTCGGACCTTCTCCATTTTTGCAGGGAAAATGGACCCGATACCTGCCACCCTTTCCATTGCTTCCGGCCCGGGGATCCTTAGAACGAACAATGCCTCACCATGTGTTTCTCGATATCAACCTCGCTGGGGTCCTGAACCCAGGGTGTTGGAAAGGGGTTCAGCACCGTCAACCCATGGGCGCCGGAAGTGTCGGAGGGAAACCGGTCAATCTTGTGGCGGACATGGGAACGTTGAGATGAGTAGT